GCCATGTTGTCTTTAATGAATCATGTTTTGTGTTTGCTAATAGCCAACCCTTCTCCCAAAGATGACTCAGTTGACTTCCTACTTGAGCTCACTTTTACACAACCCCCACCTATCACCATCACCTGTCAGCATACTCCAGTGTGCCCGACACGCCTGCCCATGCTCACGGCTCGCCTCCCTCGAGCCCCAGCTTGCCAGCCCCTATGTCGCCTGCCGCCTCTCCTTCCGTGGTCGCGTCGCTATATCCTTCACCCCCGGCGCCACCTCCTCCACCGACACATACACGTGAGTCTCGTAGCACCCCCCTGTTAAGACACATAGCATGCTCACCCACGTGAAACGAGAATCGGCCTTCCCGTCGATCGACTGAACCTTTATGTCATTCAGACTACCATTTCCCCTATTCCGAAAACATATAGAGGTGCTCTCCATGATCCACTTTGGTGCACTGCCATGACCAATGAGTACATGCGCATGGACTTCAGTTCCTTATCCGGTCGGTGCTAATATTGCTTTAGCAAACTGGATCTTCAAGCACAAGTTTGCGGTGGATGGCAACCTAGCTTACTCACAACAAGGCGTGTTGGGTTGTAAGTGGTTTCTCCCAGCAGTCAGGCATCGACTTCGACGAGAATTTCAGCCTAGTTGTCAAACCGGCTACCATTCGTGTGGTTCTCAGCATCGTCATATCACATGCCTCAGCCATTGCACCAACTCCGTGTCAGGAATGACTTTCTCCATGGCACTCTTGATGAGGAGGTGTACTGCGAGCAGCCCCTGGTATCATCGACCTGTCTTGACCTCACCATGTTTGTCGTCTCCACAAGTCCTTGTACGGCCATAAGCGGGCCCCTCGGGTGTTGTACCAGTGTTTCGCTCACTACACTCATCGTCTCGGTTTTGTTGCGTCTCTCTAGGACGCTTCCTTGTTCGTCTTTCGGCGTGGTCGCGAGCTTGCATACATTATGTTTTATGTCATCGACATCATCCTCACTGCATGTTCGTCGAGCCTGCTACATCACATCACCGACCTCCTCCATGATGGTTTCTCCATGACAGATCTCGAGGATTTGTCCTACTTCCTCGAGATTTCCGTCACTCGGTCTGCCTCGGGGATGTTCCTCTGTTAACGCCAATATGCCATCGATGTTCTCCAGCGTGCCAACATGTTCGATTGCAACCCCCGCACCACCCTCATTGAGACGCTCTACAAGTTCTCGGTCGACGAGGGATCTCTCTACTCTGACCATGGAGTACCGCAGCTTCGTTGAAGCGCTTCAGTATCTTACACTGACGTGCCCCGACAACGCCCATGTCGTCCAGCAAGCATGCCTTTACATGCACGCTCCCCGTGAGACACATCTCAACCTTGTGAAATGGATCCCTTGGTACATCCGGGGTACCCTCGATCTTGGTCTTCAGCTTCACGTGACTTCGACCCTCTCTGACGGCATACTCTGACGCCAACTAGTCCGACTTCCCTAACACTCGATGCTCCACGTTGGGATATTGTGTATATTTCGGTGAAAAACTCGTCTCTTGGTCTTCTAAGCGACAGGCTACTATATCCCTCTCCAGCACATAGGCTGAGTATCGTGCTGCTACCCATATTGACACTGAGTGTTTTTGGCATCACAACTTCTTCAAGAGCTTCATCGCCCCTACGCTCCGCGACCGTCATCTTCTATTATAATGTTAGTGTTGTGTACATGGATTCCAACCCGGCGCAACATTGTCTCACCAAACATATCGAGATCGACATCCACTTCGTGCAAGAGAAGGTATCTCTTGGTCAGGTCTGAGTTATCCATGTGTCGCATGGTCATTACTTCGCCAACATCCTAACCAATGGACTAGTGTCCCAACTATTCATGTACTTTCCGTACAGTCTATGTGTTCGCCCTCCCAATGATGCATAGACTGAGGGGGATGTTAAAGTATATTCCATGTATAGTTTTTAGGCAATATCAATCCTGTCAATATTCGGTATTTAAGATTTATTATATTCTTGCCTTGCAAGACACCCTGTACATGTGCTATAAATATATATGAGTGAAACACCCCAAACATGGCAATTTCCCTCAATCAGTTAGTTGTCTACACCTTCGTCAAGACCATCTCCGAGTCATTGGTCAGAAAAGAGCTCATTTGGTCCAAAGGCAAGGAGATAGAAAGGATGCGGAGATGACATTTGGAGTGTTCCATGCCCGATTTGCAGTTGTTCAAGGTTCTATAAAACTATGGGGTCAAGAAACCTTATGGGAGGTGATGACAGCTTGTGTGACGGTGCACAACATGATTGTGGAGGATATGGGTGAAGGATCTGCCAGAAGTCCAAAATTTGTGAACAAGAGTGATCCTATCCAACTTTCAGCTCAGAATCCGACCACGTTTGAGGAATTTGTCTAAATGCATCAACAAATTCGGCATTGAGGAACTCATAAACAGCTTAAGAATGGTATGATTGGGCATTTACAAGAGCTTAAAGGGGATAACTAGAACATGTGTTTAATTCAAGTTTGACTATTTTATTTGAAAACCTAATGTTGGATTGTAATATTTAAATTTCAACTAGTGTTGCACTTGGATATTTTCACTACTCGAAGAATTGTGCACATCTATAGTTATTCCACAGTACCAGGGACGCAAAAAGGAAAAGATGGGCGGACAAGGGCGGGGGTTTGATGAATAGGGTTGGATGACCGACTCTCGTACATTTCATCCACGGCCGGATAGTGCGTCCGATTTAGGGGACTGCGTCGGAGATGCCTTTAAGACCTCCGATTTTGACACATTAGAGAGCAGGATATTTCTCGATTTTCCTTTCTTATGAAATTCCACATATAAAGGGTCCTGATAACGCATACATGTGTGGCATACTAGACATCCGCACACACAGCGTGTGTGGCGTGAGTAGGAGGCAGCCCACACGAGCTATGTGTGGGCGAACATTAGAATTGACTATACGTGTGGGCACAACTACTTTGTGTCACACGCCTAACAAGTACTACTCATCCCCACCCCGTGCATGTGGCATGAAGCAAATATGCCCATACGTCCTCGCGCAGCTACGTTAGGTACCCACGGTATGACGATTTAGTTGCCATCCGGGATGACAGATGTAGTTATCCGAGATGGCAAATGCAGTTGTAAAAGTATGACAAGTCTCTCTGTTTTGGTTAACTATAGTTGTCATGTCTAATTTATGGTAGTTGCCGCGTGTAATCAAACCATAGTTGTCGTGTGTGATTAACTACTTGCTAAATATGGTCAAACAATAGTTGCCATGTACGTTTACCTAGTTGCCATGTGTGGTCCAACCATAGTTACCATACATGGTTAATCACAGTTGCCCTGTGTGTTTATTCTGGTTGCCACGAACGCGCAACTGCAGTTGCCGTCTAGCAACAAATCATAGTTGCCATGTGTGTTTACCTAGTTGCCACGTACGCGCAACTGCAGTTGCCATTCAACAACGTACGAGTGTCGTGTGGACAAAAAGCAGTTTGCCCACACACGCGTGGACTAAGTGGTGGATGTGTGGGCAGAAACTAGTTCGTCCACACAGCGCAGCTGACAAACTGCATGATGCGAGGCGTGTGGGCGAACTCTTCAATGCTCACACACATGATGATGCGCACGTGGCACTCAGATTCTAAAATATTCCTTTAAAATTCGTGCAAAATAGAATCATTGTGGATCAAGGTGTGTGGGCGATGTGCAAACATGCCATACGTTATACGTGTAGGCGTTATCATTTGGTTAGACAAATGCATATTGACAAGGACAAGCAAAGGGAGGTTGATTGATGTGGGATTTTTTTCTACACCCAAAAGGACAGATTGACCGCGTGGCCTGCAAATTCCGCATCTGCGTAAAGGTCATAGCTTTCTGGCACCAGAGGTACATACACGTCGATGTTACCGATGCTCTGTTTACAATCAATGCCGATGGAGAACTCCAATTTCTCGAACCCAAAGGCAGAATGATAAGCACGTTTCGACAAATGAATCTGCATGCAACGAATCTGCACCTCATTCCAACTCCATTTTTGTTGCTACCTCAGTTAGCCTCCGGTAGCCCGCCTAGCTAGCTTCCGAACATTGGACCCTAACCCCCAGCTAACCAGGCAGCAACGCCCGTGCTAATACTGTACGTAGCAGCAGCGACGCACTGAGAGCATCTCCAATAGCATGTGCATATTTGGATGTCTATATATTCTCATATATACGTTCAGTTTCACATCAGAACGTCTATATACAGGGACCATGACAGGTGGGCCATCGCTGTGAGAGAAAGAAATCATGACTACAACCGAGTTTACGACGCCTTCAGATTGTCCAGGCATGGACATTGTCGAGGTCGATTTAAAGAATGTGTATATTTGGACGACCATATAGACAAACTGTTGGACGTGTGGGCTCATGTCGTGAAAAACTGAGTATAGACATCCAAATAGACAAGTTATTGGAGATGCTCTGACACGCGGCGGCTGACCGTTCGGTGCTGCGCGCGCGGTGCAAACAAACATCCACGCATACGCGGCGCTGCTCGGACCGGATCCGGCTTGCCTGCTCCCTTTCCGTGCTCCCATCCGTGTTCCCACTTCATCCTACGGCTGTCTTTTTTTCCTTTCCTTTCTAATCTAATCATCTTCCCCCCTGATTTTAAGGGGGTGGGACCGGACCTTATTTTGTTCCAATCAAATCATGCCACGTATACGGGAGCATGGATGGATGCACGCGGAGGGAGCAGGCAAGTCTCGTCCGCTCGGACCACGCCTTCGTCGCCTGCGAAACCTGTTGAAACTGACCCATCCCGCGGCGCAGAGGTGCAAACACAGATGTCCATCGGCACAGGATAAGTAGAGTTGAACCGGCACCGTGCTACTCCGGCACGGCACCGCGCTAGTCCAGCACTCCATCCAGCCTCGGCCCGTGCTGCCAGCCAGTACCACTCGATCGCCACAGCTTCGTTGTTCACTTCAGTGCTGTCTCGTCATGGCGCTCGGTGGTCTGTTCGGCACGGCGGCGGTGGCCGTGGTCGTGTCGCTGGCGGTCCACGTCGCGCTCAACTGCCCCATCCAGCCGATCCCGTCGACGCGGCCGCCCGCCGCGCGCTACCCGCCTAATAACCTCCTCCAGGTCAGCCGTTCGTTCCTTGCCACGCCGCCCCCGTGTACACGAGTAATCTCGCCGTGTTCATGCCGCGTACCGATGGCCTGATGATCTGGTATATGCAGGGGCTGGAGAAGCTGGGGGAAGGGCAGCTGAGCGCGCCGGAGGACGTGTACGTGGACGCGGCGGCGGGAGGGACGGTGTACACGGCGACGAGGGACGGGTGGCTGCAGAGGATGCACCCCAACGGGTCGTGGGAGCAGTGGCGGTTCGTCGGCGGCACGGGCCTGCTCGGGATCGCGCCCTCCGCCGACGGCAGCGTGCTCGTCTGCGACGCCGACAAGGTACGTACGCAAGCACAACACTGTTGCACGAGCCGCAGGACAGAATCATTCGTACGATACAATCATTTCAACTGTTCGAACTTTTCTCTGTTGCTACGAATTTGGTAGGGATTACTGAAAGTTGAGGAGGGACGTGTGACCATTCTCGCCTCGACGGTCGAAGGTTCCACGATCAGGTTCGGTTCGTCTTCGATCGTGGAGAAAACTGCAACGTGCCGTACTGATCCTTGTTACTCCACATCGCCAGGTTCGCCGACGAGGCGATCGAGGCATCGGACGGCACGGTCTACTTCAGCGACGCCAGCACCAGGTTCGGCTTCGACCGGTGGTTCCACGCCTACGTCGAGGCACACCCCACCGGCCGCCTCCTCAAGTACGACCCCCGCACCGGCAAGGCCTCCGTGGCGCTCGACAACCTCGCCTTCGCCAACGGCGTCGCCCTGTCGAAGGACGAGGCCTTCGTCATCGTCTGCGAGACAGGGAGGTAAGCACCTGGGCACGCCCTGCACTTCACTCTACTCAGTCTGCAGTCTCAGTCTTGCTGCAGGCAGCAGCTCCATGATCAAGCGACCAGTTAATTCTGTGAGCTGCAGGTTCAGATGCACGAGGCTGTGGCTGAAAGGGGACAAGACCGGCCAGGCGGAGACGTTCGTCGACGACCTTCCGGGGGGTCCGGATAACATCCAGCTAGCGCCAGACGGCTCCTTCTGGGTCGCCCTTATCCAGGTTAGTGTACACCTCAGCTCACCAACTTGTATGGAGGCCAGTTTAACCATCTATCTGACGAAAAGCAACGTCTCGTAATTCTTGGTTGCTCAAACTGCATGCAGAGGTCGCCGTGGCTGGACCTGGTCATGCGCTGGACGTTCACCAAGAGGGTCGTCGCCTCGTTCCCGGCGCTGCTCGACGCGGTCCACGCCACGGGGAAAGGGGCGATGGTGGCGCAGGTGTCGGAGGACGGCGAGGTCCTCCGCGTGCTCGACGACACCCAAGGGAAGGTGATCAACTTCATCACCTCAGTGACGGAGCACGACGGTTACCTCTTCTTCGGAAGCCTCGCGACCAACTTCGTGGGCAAGCTATCTCTGGCCAAGGTGGCACAGGCACAGGGCCAGCCGGCGGTTTCTTCCTAGTTCCTAGACGGTCAGTTTCATCATCCATTGCCATCGGAATAATAAAGCGAGGTCACCCTGTAGATGACAGGTTCCGCACTGTGTCATTCACGGCTCCGCCGTAAGCAGTCAGATAGTACTACTATCAGTTATGGTTTCAGAGTTCAGTGATTTGTAAAGACTCAAATGACCGACGGATGAGCAGGTTCGTTTTGAGCTTCTGTGGCTGCCTGATTGAAATGAGACCCCACGCTAAAACCCTACCGACTAGGAGAAATTGCAGTCCTATTAATCTCATGACAAATTCACATATTACTGGCCTTCTCCATCCAGGATGTTCTGCCCTGCAAGCGGATTTTTGTAGATGCGCCTCAACACAGTTCTGAATGTCGGATAATTCTTCCTGACAACTCCCACCTGGAGCATAGATTTCACTTGCATTGCTCAGCAAAAGGAGATGCGCAAAATACTGCTACAACATTAATTGATTTCAATTGCATTACCTCGATGTCATGGCCTTGGTTATTATCCTCCAGGACGTGTCGCAGTGCAGACACTGCCATCTGGAAAACCAAGAGAGGAAGATTAATCACAATGGGCTTGGAGTGCCACTGAGCTGATTCAGGAAAACTTTGAGACTACAGTCAAATAGGCCAGCTCTGCTATCTTGGAAACGCAGGGAACCAAACTGTGACTTATAGACAAATAACTACAATTAACAACATGAGTTCAAGATGCCGCTGCACAGATTTTTTTTTTGGAAATGGAGGCATATAAACATGCCAATAAAAACATGAGAATCCAAATAGATCATGCCAGCCGCAACTTCACGAGTGTTGGAAGAAAAATGTCCTGACAAATGTGCTATACAACTGCCGATACTTGACCGCATGATTTCCTCGGAAACCACAAGTAGGAACAATGAAATAGTTGACGGCCTGCTGTCTGCTTTATTAGTAGTAAATGGCAGTACTGTTAATAATATGTCAGAAAACTATTAATAAATCAACTGAACGAGCTACAGGCTTTGTGAAAAGACATTAGGAAATACGATCAACTCATGGACCATCATTTTTATCTGTGTTTACTTGTAGTATTAGGTTTTGTATACGATAAAAAATTTGTCTGCTCTTCGATAATACTGTTAATGTTGTGCACTTATGCTCACCTCCATGGTTTCCTGGAATGATAAAGAGGAATTGCCCGCCATTGCTTCCTCGAGAAACTCGATAGCTTCCTGATCCTCGAGACCTACGCTGGTTGCCTGAGGAGAGGACATCAGGGAATCCAGTTATTCAATGTACTCATGTATACATGCTCCTAATTTATGCATGGTATCTTATAGCAAATTTTTAGCCATCCACATTACTGCTTGAGAAGTGAAATAACTAATCATCAGCAGAACATGCGACTCTTGCATTTTGATGAATACAAGTTCATGAGCACAGCACAAAATTCTTTGATACCTTGTGGCCAAGGACTTGTCCAGCGGGATCACATGTAAAGAGCTCTGGAGTTCCTTTCTCTTCATCAATTCCCACGACCGTAGCAACTGTGAAGGAGATTAAAAGGATTGGACTAACCAATAAGACCTTTATTAGAACATAAGGAAAAATAATATGCTGACAAGTTTCACCACTCTCTAATACACAAAGTCAGAAGAAGTAGGACTAACCAACTCTGTAAGGTCTCATGCCATCATGCTGGGTGCGGACTTGTGCTCTGTCTCCCAACCTGTAGACAAGCAAAATACAACTGGCTAAACGTAAAGCATGGCTTGAAATGAATGAAGTGTGCCAAGTTACCGAACAAAGGAAAGTGTACATATAGCTTAGCACACAGAAAGTAAGCTCTGATACTAAAGTGCAAGCAATATCTGGCAGAAAATGTTCTCATCATCTCTTCCCATATCTTCAACATGACAACTGATAAATACGCGTTGATGAAGGTCGTTTTTAAATGTTCTCATCATCTCTTCCCATATCTTCAACATGACAACTGATAAATACGCGTTGATGAAGGTCGTTTTTAAATGTTCTCAGGCGAAATATAGTTTTTGTTTTCATCTGTGCTGCCTGCGTCGTATACTTAATTAAGAGCAAATCTTACCATTGCGCCAACATCTTAGGAGGCATTTCATATCCCCACTTGTAACGGAACCCTGCAGCTTCGTTCCTTGCCTGCTGAGCTAATGCTCTCCCATCAGCTTCAGTGACGAAAATGCCCGTCAATAAAACAGAAGTAGACAGATAAAATGGCAGTGTATCATCATGTCCTGCTAAATTCTATTGGCCTCAGTGTTCTACGTAATTCTGTACTTAAGGAATATGCAGTTGTTTGAGAGTTAAAGTTCAGATTAAGGGCCAGGACAATTAATTGCTAGACGTTCAAATTCAATACTCCAGAAGTAGAAGGAGGTACTAAATCAACAGTGCAATCATGACAAGGATCAAAACTAGTCAGATAGATTAACTACTTACCCAAGGCAACACCCAGCTAAAGATCACGATTCACGCTAATAATTTTAAGAGTTCCCTAATTAAAGACCTGGCTGACAGTATACTGTATACCCAAGGTTTTAGACCTTCAAATGGATCATCATTCACAATAGTAGCCAACCTGAAAAATTAAAATTACTCCCGGATCTTCAAAGTATCCAGAAGTGCACACTGCACAGTAGAATCAAGGTGTTCTAGCAAGTACTTATGGATGGAAAACAAAACGCTCCGTTGGTAAAGTCCTACTCGATCTGCGGAAGTCGCAATGCAGGTGCAAATTAATCACCAGTGGGAACAAATTGCGTGCACGGCATTAATTAGTACACATGAGATTAGAACTGACGGAGTCCGCACTCAGAGAGGATCAGTCACCTCACCTGGCATCCCCGTGGCGAGCATACCAAGCCGCTCGGTGATCTGGAACAGGTGCATGAAGGGGGGGTCCGCTGTGTCCAGCAACGGGTCCTGAAATGCAACGAGCACGAAATCACCGATTACTGCCCGAAATCACGAGATGATCATCGGTTTGCGCCCGATCGAGCAGCATTCGGCAGTACTGGACAGCGCGCGCGAACTAACCGCCGGTGCCTTGGTCCGCTGGGTGATGACGCAGACGGAGTCGGCGCCGCGCACGGCGACGGAGGTGATCCCCTCCAGCTTCACGGAGTTGCGGGCGTAGTCTGCGACGGACAGCACAGGAAGATCGTCACGGAGCCAGGGCAAGGGAGGCGGCGGCGCAGGGGCGGAGCTCGATTTCGGGGGTGCGAGAAGCGTGCGTACTAACCGACTTGGAAGACGCGGCCCTCGGGGGAGAAGACGGTGATGCTGCGGTCGTAGCGCGGGGACTTCGCCGCGGTGCGGCGGCGGCTGCTTCTGCTTTCGCCGACGCTGCCAGACATCGCCGCTCTCGGCTCCGGCGAGGCACGTGCGCTGCTGCGGGGGAGGGGAGGGCCGAGGGGTGGGGGAGGAGGCCGGAGGAAGCGGCTTGTGTCGTGCGGGTTCTTCTTCGGGGGAAAGAAGGAGGCGGCGCTTCGCTTCACTCGCTGCCGCCACTCGCTCCGCGGCCCACTTTGTTCTCGATCGATTTGCTCACCTGATTGCAGCCCAAAAGCCCCCGATTGTCGTGGACGTGCGCAACAGAAAGAGCCTGGGCCGGTTTCTCAAAATAAGAAGAGTTTGGGCATTCCCTAAAAAAAAGTTTGGGCCAGCACGGTCCCGATATCCTCCATCTCAAAAAAATGGAAGAAAAAAGTTTTGCTATTTGGCACTTGCCTGGAAAAAAAATGATGGATACGTCAAATTGTAAAAGAAGGCGCAGCGTTCGGGCCGGAGACGGGGATGCGGCGACGTCCTTGGCAAAGGCTCGCCGAGAATGAGCCGGCGCGAGCGGCGATGTGGTTGGTCGTGGTGTCGCGGGTGAAGGCAAGGAGGAGGATTGACAATTCGAGGTGTGGGGTGGGCAGCCAGTGCCG